CCCTCTTTCTCAAGTATTCACTGTCCTGTAGTTCTTAATGCTTTCATCCTTTCTTTTAGTTAACAGGAACTGCGTGGGATGGAATAATATTTGTCCTCATGCTTCATCAGAAGTTTAAATTGAACTCAAATCTTTTTAGAGGTTCAGAAAAAAGGCGGAGATGCTTTTTATAAACAGTTACCATGCACCTCTGCGCTTGTGATGCTTGCGCACGACTCCTCTGATGGAAAAGAGGAGAGATGCATCAAACATAACTGAGCAATTTAATCCATTGAAACTCCAGGCAATACAATAACGTGCGCTGACTGTTGTTTTTCTAGCAAGAACTATCGTCGACCTCAACCTTTTTTTTTTTTAATGCCGGTTGTGTTGCAAATAACGACAATAAGAACAAATACTCTTGATAAGCGAACAAAACCAAGACACGGCTTTCCGTGATCAAAAAAAGAATCCATAATTATGGATCAAGTGCATGTAATGCTTCCCTTTATATGGTTATGCTCTTCTAGTGCTCTCATCATCTCTGGTAAAATTAGCACTTCAGTAATTATACTGGGCCAGTCCCCCAGCTGGTAAACTTTGTGTATTTCTGGTGTGGGTGGTGAAATGCAGGACTGATTTGGCTTTTTTAATTACATTTCAATAAGGCTCCTTTATATAGCACAGCAGGGCGATTTTCTCTGTGTGCACATGTGTATGCACATGCATGCACACCCTTGCTACTTCCACGGTGCGATGCAGTGCATGGATCTGCAAATCACCCTGGCACAGCCTTTACAGGGATCTGTCAGATGCCGAGTTAATCATACAGTGCCAGGCCCTTTTCTGCCACCTACCTCGACACCGAATAAAATGAGAGGAAAGTGCAAGGCTCCTCTGAAGCCAAGTGTGCTGTAGAAGGATCCAGGTGGGTGTTGGCACAATGCTCCCGTAAAAATAACCAGGGGGTAGGAGATTTGTGTATGTGTGAACACCGGGTGCTTTGTCGAACATAGAGAGAAATGTTCTCATATGCAGACATATGATTAATTAGGGTGCCCCTTTCCCAAAGGAAATCTGATTCACATACTACTCTCACTTTGAGAGCAATCCCATTGACATGTGTGGGGCCACTTTTCCTGAGTGTGAGTCAGGCTTAGAAAATGTCCTGGCCCTAAATCTGGATCAAGAGTAACTTTCCTCTTAGGGTGGGTTGGCAGGGATCTTTCCTGCCGTTCCTCTGGACTTCCATTGTATCTAGATTTTCAGTGTCCATTTATGGCCTGGAGTGCCCTTGTGCTCATTTAAAACTAACCACACGCTATCCAGAAATGAAATGCTATAATGAACCCAACAGACTCCTCATATATAAGGCAATTCCAGGACTATGCACTATCCCACATGGTTATTTCCCTGTGTCGGTGCCAGCAATGGGACTTTAGCCTTCCTGTCTTGTCTGTATTGTGACGTTTGTGTTGCAGAAGCACACAGGGATCCCAGTCATCTGTGGTCAGGGTCATCTTGTGTCAGGCACTGTACAAACCCAGAGCAGAACTGATGGTCCCAGCTCTGAGAAGCGGCATCCAATGTATATAATGGAGTGGTGGAGGAAATGCGGGGAGATAATGCCCCCGCATTGAAAAGCAGTGGTCGCAGCGCATGAGCTGCCTAACCAATGTTGGGCTTGCCACATGCATAAAGCATCAAAGAGAACTTGAAGGAGGAGGATGTGGCAGATCTTCATATCCTTACCCCATGACCCTCGCTGTGCTTGACCAGAAGAAGCAAGCAGGGCTCCTCGTAGCGGTGATATCTTTTATTAGACCAACAAGATTTTTGCAAAACAAATTCTTGAATTGCAAGTTTTCAGGCACAAACACCAGTCACTGGGCATCGGAGAAAAGAAAGCTTGCAATTGGAGCAATTTTTTGGCAAAAATCTAGTTGGACTAATAAAAGAGATCACCTTTACTACAAGCCCTGATGGCTTTTTCCTTTAGACCTACAACCTGGCTACCTGACCAGCAGAAAGCACAAAGCCGTTCCTTTGATAAGGCGGGCTTACGCGTTCACAGCAGACGTGGTGCTGAGTGTGGGATGATTATTCAGCCATTACAGTTCTGACATCTATTTCCTGGAGTACAGGAGATTTTATATAGTTCAGTATAATATCGCGGTTGTTTCTTCGTCTCACACGCACTGTTCCAAACAAATGGGCGACATTTAGCTTCTTGTCACTGATACCCCTTGAAGTAAATCTCTTTGGCTACAAATAGCTTGTTGCTTTATTTGAAAGGTCCCTGGTGGAATGTAGCCAGTTTTAACTGGCTATATACAGATATATCTATAAATCTATAGATATCTATCTATAGATATATATAATTGTGTGTGTGTGTGTATCTATAGCTATATATCTATATATAGATGGATTGATATCTATAGATATATATAATTGTATGTGTATATAGATAGATAGATGGATAGATATCTATAGATGGATATAATTGTGTGTGTGTGTGTGTGTGTGTGTATAGATAGATAGATAGATGGATAGATATCTATAGATAGATAGATTGTATGTGTATGTATACCTAGGCTGGTAAGTTGAGCAGCTTCTGCTTCTATCTATAAAGAAAAATCACATAATATAAATCAGCTTGATTGCACACATGCAAGATCAATGTTTACAGATGGATCTTTTATTTACTTGTTTTAGTGTGAGCCAGTGTGCCCTTGGATATTAACCTTGGGGGTAGGTGTAGGAAGCTCTGCGTTCAAATCCCAGTTTGCATTGTACCCGGACAGTATCGCACATGTGCCGTTTCCCCATCAGGACTATGGCTACAACAACACCTTTTTATGATTTGAGAATCAAGGGAATGAAGCCTAGTATGATATAAAGCACTCCATGAGCCTGAAATTGTATCATGAGCATCCAGAATTTGGGGGTGTTCAGGTTGTGCATCCAGGAAAGGCCTGGGACAGAGAGAAAAGGAAGGGAGGTATTTGCTGGGTTGAGGATAAGGATTTTTTTTTTTATTTTTTTTTAAGTCTACACTCCTTGTTTTTCCAGAAACATTTCATTAAGTGCCTCGGCTGCAGCCATGAAACAAGAGTCCTGGCACATTTTGACTGCCGAGACCCGTATATTTCATGACCACAAGGTGGCGCGCAGATGACCCAAAATATTCTCGCCGGCTGTGTCAAACTTCGGAGTGTGTGTGTCAAAGCGTTCAGCATGTCCGAGTGCCAATTTCAAACAGAAAACCCAAGGGACGCTCCTTTTTCTGGCCCCCTTGGTCTGTTGTAAACTGAAACAGCATTTCCCCAGGTCGGGAGGTCTATAAACTGGCACCACACCTAATTTTCAACAAGTGGATATAGCTTACCTAGAGCCGAACGAGAGTGGTTTTGCTTTCTGGGGCTTTGTGCTAAGCTTTGGTTGTGCTCCAGCCCGAAGGGGCCTTTGCTTGGAGCAAAGCTAGAATTTCAAAGGAACAGGATGGTTTTTCACCTTAAAAAATATAAGGTCCAGCAGATATTTAAAACCAGCCTAGACCTACTGAGGTTCAGATATATTTTGGTCCCAGGTGCATCCCAAGGATTGGGTAGATGATGCAACCTTCTGCCCCTCCTGGGGTGCGATTTGATTTGGACATTGACCCTGGGATGGATAGGAGGTGGTTTCCCATTTCAGGGACAGCATTTGAGACTGAGCAAAAAATTGGACGGTGCATGTAAATTCTGTAGTTTGCAGAGTGGTGAAGAGAAATAAAAGCATGAACCCAAATCCAGTTCTGGACTTGGAAGCCATCAGGATGCAGATAAGGGTTTTCCAGCTTTTGAACGCTGTTTATTTGATTTGTTTTCAGCCAAATCTAGTAAAAAAGGATCTTCAGTTCTGGATCCAAAACAGAGGTGTGATCAAAACCTGGATCTAAATTTTCCAGGTTGACCCTAATCTATATGTGCTTCTTGCATCACTCTGGTACCTCACAACTTACCCGATGTGTTGCTTTGTTAACTTTTTGCTTGGTTTCAACGTCAATTTGTTACCCAAATCTAAATGAGTTTCCAAAGACTGTCCCACTAACCTCATTTCCCTTCTGCGCACGTCATCCATAATTGAAAACATGGGAGGCACTTTAAAATAGTTCAATTTTCACCCAATGTTCCTTCCTACAAACACACCTTTGATGCATGTAACTGCACTTGCAATTTGCTGAGATGAGTGTACAGCTTAATGCTTTGTGGTAGGTAGACAGCTCAAGTTAGAACTCCTGTGCGGTGTTTAAGACGGGAGGAATAAACAAAGGGGTTATACAGTATGTTCCACATCTGAAAATCAACTTCACAGAAAATATGCACTAAATGATATATGATAATGGGGAAAGGAAATGCCATCTGCCTTAATGAATGGTGGCAGGCGGATCTGGGAAAGATGTCTTTTATAAGAAGCTCTTGTTATATTCCCTGTACCATAAACTAACCTTGACTACAGAACAATAGTTCTGAGCAGTAGGAGAAAATAGCTGAGATGCAACTAGTCCTGATGAAACATGGGCCAGTGCAAACAGCTTTGTACTTTCCTTTTGTTGTCAAAACTCTGCTTCATCTGGCCTGGTTTGATGGCTTAAGAGAAAAAAAAACAAATGGGTTGAGCTCTTCTGAGCACAGTTTGCATCTTCCCCTTGTGCCGACAGAAGTGCTAGACTTTGGGGCATGTCTAGACCACCTCAGCATTGCCACCTGTAGTACCAGTGTGAAACCTGCCCTGCCTATTTTCACCTACTCGGCATGTCCCGGAAACAAAGCACTGTGGCCCCCTTGGAGTAGGTTTGAGTACATGCCAGTAAGCTCATGGGAGACGGGGACCCAGAGAGCAAGGGATCATTCATGGGAGTTGCACTGAGCTATCGCCTCCTGTTGCTCAGGGGTTGCCCTGCTACAAGAGCGCACCCACGTAAAAATGTGTGGAACAGCCACTTTCTACATCTCCCAACTCTGGTTTCTACTCTCCAGATCTCTGCAAGAGCTGAGTATGCTGCGGAGAAGACTTCCCTCTGGAGCAAAATAATTCTTCTTGCCCCCGGAGCTAGGCTGTACCTAAATGGCACAACACAGTTTGTTGTGGGCCTGATGCAAACCTCCCCATTAACTTCCAGGAGTTTTGGTGCAATCCCAGGTTTTGATGTGAGTAAATGTTTTTTGCTCAGGTTTGTGTTAGCTCTCTCCCTCACTCAACCCTATGTGCTCTAGCTCCCAGGTAGATGAAGCAAGACTCTCCTGCTCGTACACCCATAGCTGTGGTGCTCTTCAGCTGTGTCTTATTCAGGAGGCGGAAGCAAACACCACTTGATCTTACCCTGTCCCATCATATGTAAGAGCATAGTAGCTTTGCACCATGCCTCTCCCACTGCATGATGCCATACCAGGAGACTCCACAATCCACAATAACCACACCACATAGATCATAGAGAAGTAAGGCTAGAAGGGACATCAAGAGATCATCTAGTGCAAACCAGTGACCTTGGTATTACTAGCACCATGCTCAAGCCAGCTGAGCTAAACGACCTCTGTCCAGTCCAGTGAAACCACTGCCCCCACTGTCAGCAGTCCTGTCAAGGTTCCTTCAGCAGGACAAAGATTGAATAAAGGTGAAATGCTAATTTGGCAAGGCTGGGTGGCTGCTTTACAGACTTCATCCATAAAATAGGTTTGGGGAAGGGTTGTTCTTCTACTGAACGTTTTTTCAATGTTGTTGGCTTTCCTTTTGATTTCACAGTCTTGTCCTGAAACCCTGAGGCCTCGTGTCGTGAAAATCTTTCCACATCATTCTCAGTGCGGAAGAAGGTATGGAAGTTAAAAGGCTGTGACGCAGAAGGGATGAAGGGGATAATGGACCATCACAAGATATAGGGCAGTAACATGCTGTTTATTGCCATGTCTTCATTCATACAACATCACTGAATGCATTGCCACACTTTATCGTACCTCAGCTTTATATTCTCATAAATGGAATAAAAATATGAATGCCATAAAATACTATAGGAATTGCCAGATTGGTCCAGACCAGTGGTTCATCTAATATCCTGTCGTATTCCCAGATACAGAGTGTGTGTTTTCATCCATTTGCTTCTGTTTATAAGCCTACCACGAACGGGCACATCTCCCCTGGACATGTCAATGCAGTAGTGAGGGCCACTATTAAAGGTTCAGAATAAGATCCAGAATGCATAGGGGGAACAAATAGCAAAAGCAGGACAGCAATGCTAATTTATGTAACAGATATTCTTCCCAGAATACAACATCCTTGTGGATATTATGAGTCTTGACTCACTCCCATGAATGGTACCATTATGAATCAGAAGCTTGTTTTCAGCATCCAACTTATTTTTCAGTATACAACAGTATAATCCTATCAGTGATAAAACTATAAGGGAGCAGGCAACCAAAGATTGCATACAGAAAGGTGATTGTTTGAAGTTCACAGAATAAATAAGACTTTATTAAATTGTATTCATTATCCTGACACTAAAGGCACATTGAAAACTATTGCACATTGAATACTAGTACAGCTGTGCGGAGGATGAAAGCCACGGAGGATTTCAAATTTGATTTCATTCTGAAGGGGACAGAACACTGAATATTTTGAAATATTCGGTTAAGTAATTACAAAAAATCATCTTGAAGAGGATCGGGAGGTTTCATTTGGACAAGATCAAAAGTTTTGTTTAAAAGTTGACCTGTTAAAAATTATGATGATATATAATACTATAAAAATAGAAAGAAGTTTTGAAATGCAAGTCATTTTGGCTTGAAACATTAAATCTTTGTGTCCTAAATGTCAAAAGGTTTCACTTCAATGTTTTCTGGATTTATTTCCTCCAGCGTCACCAATATGAATTCATTGATTTTTATTTCAATTTTGATTTCTCAAAGACATCACAAAGGATAAAATATTGCAATGAATTACAGATCCAGCCACAATTTCTCCAACAAGCTTTAATGCAATATTTGACAAATTTAGCCCATTTTTCTTTTTGCAGATTGACCTGGAAACCTTTTAATTTTGTCACTAAAGAACACAAATTAGTCTTTAGATGGTTTCAGAACCTTTTATAAAATTTTCCTTCTGAATATTTTCATTAGGGCTGGTTACAAAAAGAAAAATCACTATAAATGAAAGGTATCCAGGTTGTAGCCGTAAAGATTTTTTTTTTTTCCAAAAATCTTGTTGGTCTAAAAAGAGATTCTCTGCTATGAGTCCTGACTGATTTTACTATAAATGAATTGATTACTGCAAAATATTTTGGCCACCAAAAATTAGAATTTTCTAAACTTCCTATCACTCTGTATATCAACTGAAAAAAGATCTTTTTTGTGAAATCTTTTATTGGACCACCTGTTGTTAAGAGACCTGCTGCACACCTTTTGGGCACCAAGTGCCCTTCCCCAGGTCGCGTGCCCAAAAGCTCGTCCAACAGCTCTCCCAATGATACAGTTGGCTCAGTGAAAGATAGCACAAAAAAAGCCTTGCCTCTTGACATTTTCTCGACTATCCTGGCTACAACAGCACTCCAACCTTACTATACCAATTAAAAAAATTAAAAATCTGTAAAAAGAAAAAGAAAAAAAGAAAAAAATAATTCAAAATTGAAATGCACAATTCAAATTGAAGGGGTATTCTCATTATTTATTGGAAAGAATTGTATGGAGCTTTCTAGGCCCCACATAAAATATGGGTACCCAATTCCCAATTAATTGGGAAGTCAGCTTATAAATCAATTAGGCAGCACTGACAATTGGGACTACAGGGCACGTGTCACACTGGATGACTATATTCAGTGTTTGTCTACACTGCAGTCGCATACTGTTAGAATTAATTCTGTGTGATTATACTTGTGAATGAGCTTGATGTCTCAGGGATGCTTTCAGGAAAACTTGATGGCAGTAACTTTAATTGCAGTGAACAGCTAGATCTGAGACTCCAATGAGCGTCTACTTAGGGTCACTGAAGTTTTCTGATACGGTATTTTGGTCGAAGCTTGCTTGACAGCTTCCCTGGGGTCGTCTAGTTCTTCAAAATTGCTAATCAGGGCAACGGCACTAAATGATTTCTCCTTGACTTTCAGGGTTGATGAACCTGTTTCTTTCTCCAGCGTTTTCTCAGTCCTGTTCCATTCTTGTTCCTTCCTGTCCAGTTGCTTTGCACTGCAATACGGGGCATAAACCTCCGTGGTTTCTTCAAACTGTAGGCAGTCTACTCTGTAGTATTTGTTCTTCACCTGTAAGACATCATTGAACCTATGGCCCCAGAGAATTTCTCGAGGGACATAGGAACTCCTCGACTGGTGCGACGTTCCAGTGGAATCTCCCGTGTAGACAAACGTAACCAGGATTTCGAAGCTGTCCCTAGCCAAAGCTTTCCGATCCAAACCATACAAAGGACTCTCACGGTCGATCTCATGTACAATGGTCACTGGTGTAATGAGTATAATCTGGTCGTTTAATAACTTCAAGTCCTTGTATTCCATCGACATTCGCCCTTCGTTATCTTCCTTGTAGCGCAGGAGCTGAGCTCTCACTGTGCCTTCGACCATATGGTTTGGCCGAAAATCACCTATCCGCCACATGAGGCAAAGCTTGTCATCTCTTAAGCCTACAACAGCATAGTAGCTGAAACGGATAGTCTGAGCTCTTTTTCGAGCTGTCGCCATTTTAGCCAAAGCAGCTCCAATTATGAATGTGTCAATAATACAGCTTAATACTGACTGTAGGATCACCATGAGGATGGCTACAGAGCACTCTTCAGTGACACAGCGGAAGCCATAACCTATGGTAGTTTGGGTTTCGAGAGAGAATAAAAATGCTCCTGTGAAGCTGTGGACATTAGCAACGCAAGGGTTGATGTCTGCATTATGCAATAAATCTCCGTGTTGGAGGGCTATCAGCCAAAAGACCAAGCCAAAGAACAGCCACGAAAGGATGTAGGACAAAGAGAAGATCACGAACATGTGGCGCCACTTGATGTCCACTAATGTGGTGAAAATGTCGACCATGTAGCTCTCCCATTCCCCAAAGATGTGTTTGAAATACACGTTGCAGCTCCCATCCTTGTGGAGAAATCGCTTCTGCATTCTTTTCATCCCTGCTCCAGTGCTTTCTTTGCAAGCATTTTGGCAATTGAGCTTATTTCCTTGGAGGCTGACAAGCCTATTGTGACCGCTGCTGTGCTCAGTCATCTTCATGTTGGCTCCGCCAGCATCAGCTTGAAAGAGTCATTAATGGTTCAGTAGCTAATCGTTTTCTCGCCTCATTTGAAATCTATAAAATAAAATAAAAAGAAAGAAAGATTTGGGGATTTATTTGTTTTGTATGCTGGCCATTCCACGACACCTAAACTATGCTTATTAACTTGGAGGCTGTCAACTGTTCCTATTAACGGTTACAAAAATTGGGTAGTGATGTTGTATTTCATCTCCAAAGGCATCCCTACCTTAAAGCTATAATGGCAAAGAAAAGCTTGCTAGCAAACTTCTGACCTATTTTAAGATTTTTTTTTTCTCCAGTCTAAAGAGGCAATGGAGACCACTTTGCTTTCATCTTTGCTCTTCTACATGTATGTCGTCTTATCTTTTTGACAAATAGCATTTCATCACGAGGGGCTACCATGAAGTATAACTGGAAAGACAAGTATCCCCAGAAGGGACAAATGGACAGGACTTGGAATAAATGAATGATTCCTTTTAGTTATTAACCATTCTATGCTTCCAGTGGGATTAATCATTTCTCTGCTTGTTTTTCAAAAGTAGAAAATTAATTAAATTGGTGCTCATGAAAGGTGCTTCAGAGGTTTAGAGTAGCAAATCTTCCAGACCTTGCATAGCTTAATCTCCTTAATCCTTTCAGTCCTTAATCTTGAAACTGAGACTAACTGAAGGGTTCTCAGTAAAGATTAGTTGTAATGATGCCATTTTTTGTGTGTATCTGGGGGTTTTATGTGTACCCAGAGAACTCGACCGAGAGTCCTAAACTCTGAAATATGGGCAGCTTAGAAGAACTTGAAATTCCTGTTTATTCTGCTGCTTTGCTTTCATCTAACAATAATTAGTTCATCTTGTCCCCTGGAGAACAAAGCATCACTCACACCTCATAGAAGATGCAAGTTAAGACATGGCATGACAATAGCCTACTTTGAGGGCCCAAACTATAAAACTACAGGAAAAAGGCTCATCACAAGGGCTCCTCTAAACATTTCTCTAAATGATAAACCTTGTTTCCAACCGTTGGCACCTCAACGAGGATGCCCAATCCTAGATTAAAGTCCTTAGGACGACGCTTTGACACACACATACAGGATTGAAATGTTAAGGTAGATATGCCTAAAGGTATTTAGGCACCTAACTTATTGAAAAAAGAGTTAGGAACCTAAACTGGACTTGGGTATGCCTCTAATATCTGGGCCAAAGTGTCAAGTGAAGCAGTCTCTTAAGGAATGATGTAGGCCCCAAGATTCAAAATTCAGCTCTGTGGGCCAAACGTTGCTCTCAGCTATGCCACTGTAAATGCAAAGAAACTCAACAGAAGTCAGTAGATTGGCATTTATGCTGGTGTGACTGGAAAAGAAATGTCAGACTTGGAATCATCTATTCTCAGTGTGCATCAGACAAACAACATGGAAAAGTACTGGGCATATCTGCACACACGCACATCACACGTGTGCACACTTCTACCTTCATTTGTGCTCACAAAGCAACTTATGCCAGGAGTGCTTTGGTTTTCTTGTACAACTTTGCAAAGATTTTCTAGCATTCTTGCTATAAGGTCTCGTCTCCTTTTTTCCCCAGGATATCATGTCATGTGCAGACAGCCAGTTGGCCTGTTTCATCTCTCTCATCACAATAAATCAAGCCCAGCTCCATTTACATCACTGGTATTCTACCGCTGTTAAAACTAGATAAAGTTAGAGGAAAACTAGGACTGTAATAGATTGTATTTCGTTGGTTCGCAAAATCGTTGGCATCATTCGTTGGGTGGCAGAAGGATTTTCAGAAAGGGGGTAAAGGATTTAAACGTTGTTTTTTTGTAAAATGTCTTTGAAAAAGTGCCTACAAATATTAGGAACACACAGTCCCATTGCAAGTCATTCCTTTGGGAGGTTTTGGAAGTCTCCACATTAGCAGCTTGCAATAATGATCGTCCTGAGCCTGTTCTGTAGACGGCAAAATAGCGGTGACACTGAAGGAGTGATTAGCCAATGCCTTGCATCTACATAAATGATTTCCCCCTGCCACCTCTACCCCCCACCACACACATGCACAGCCAGTACATACATCACTCCATATGAGTTTAAAATGTTGACAAAACAGAACTATAATATTTTGTTGGGGTGGCTGAAATTTGTCATTTGAAACTTTTTTTCACAATTTCTACTGAGATGGTATGCCCTCCTCAAAAAAAAATATTTTGATTGGAAAGATGAAACACATTTTTCTTCCATTTTTAGCTGAAAATTTGAAGTTGTGTGTGTGACACTGAAAAGCCAACATTTTTCAGGGAAGGTAAAAACAGTTTTCCGGCCAATTTAGTGTTTTGTACCAACCCTGCGCCCACTTTGCATGGGTGCATACAAGAGCACAAGATGCAGAGCAGTGGAGAATCAGCATAATACATCTTGAATGAACTAGATTAACAGGCTAAAAGTTCGTCTTCCATCCAAGGAACAATGACAGGCATGCATAGATGCTATTCCAAAAACACTTTGAAGCCAAACATTGTTTCCATTTCTTTCTTTTTTCTTTTTTTTTTTTTTTTTTTTTTTTCAAGTTCAACAGTGAATGTGACATATGGTGTCATATCCTCAGAATGTGGCCTTCATTAAAAAAAAAAAAAAAAAACACACAACATTAATGTTTCCAAAAATATTTCTTGGAATACAGTCTTTGGAAATATTCATAAGATTTGCTTTGCTCATGGCTTTAAAAGTTCACTGTAGTCGCGTCCACTGAAGACTCTTGACCTAACCTTATAGAAAGTAGTTTTTGACACCAAGTAAACTTTGGAAACTCTTGTGTTTTTAAAAAAAAAGCCTCATAATGTGAGGTGTGAAAAGGAGACGAACTGTAATCAAAAGCCAATCTAAAAAATAAATAAAAAACACACTGCGGGTTACAATTTTTTTCCTTCATATTCACTGGTTTTAAAACAGTTCCTTAAAAATACCCACAAATACCGTGAGAGTCTAACAGCAACAAAACAGTTCATAAATCAAGGGCTACTGGGTTGATTCTGCTCTCTACTTTTGCCAACAGAAAGTCGTCATATTTTTTAAATGTCATTTCGTTGGCACCCTCTTTCATTTCTATTGGTGCTGGCAAGACTTTTCTTCTGAAGCACACTACAGTTGGCAGAAAGCTGTGGGTTGGGGGCAGCTTTGAATCTGTCGCAACCAACCCAGAGCAGTGTTGGAACATGGGCTTGCACAATGGGACTTGGATCTCTGTCGGGGTTCCTGGGTACAGCTGTATTACTACTACTATTACTGCTGCTGCTACTACTGTGGGCATACTCATGGATATTTGCATGTGACTATCTTTAGCATTAAAACAAAGATATGCAACAGGAGCATGAAGTCGAATTTTCCCAGCCAGCTGAGTGACTTCGGCGCCCTCATGGCCTTGAAAGTCTTAAGAATTTCTGAAAAGTTTTCCCAAGTATTTTGGATATGTGATTAAAAAAAACACGACAAATTATTTTAGCATGAACATCAATGATTAATAATGTTGTTATAATTATTGATGCAATGGCTCATTTATACCGACAATCCTTAGCATCCCTTCGCAACATAAAAGCACTTCCTCCAATGACCCTCAGTGAGCAGCCAGTAATATAAACCCTTTTTAATTGGTGAAGATACTGTGCTACAGAGAAGTTGCATGACTTTCCAAGAATGAATCATTGGTAGAGCAAAGATCTGAACTCAAACACCCTTTGCTAAATCTATTGAAGTATGCTGCCGTCTACAGAACAGGCTCAGGACGATCATTATTGCAAGCTGCTAATGTGGAGACTTCCAAAACCTCCCAAAGGAATGACCTTGCAATGGGACTTTGTGTTCCTAACATTTTTAGGCACTTTTTCAAAGACATTTTGCAAAAAAAACAACATTTAAATCCTTTACCCCCTTTCAGAAAATCCTTCTGCCACCCAATGAATGACGCCAACGATTTTGCGAACCAACAAAATAATAGGGGGAAAAAATCTGTGATATTCTACGTATACCAAAGCTCATGGATCAGTTCCTGTGAATGATTCTCAGATGTTGCCAAGGAAGTTTTTCCTTCCCCTTGCTAACAGTAATGTTTGGATGAGAACTTCCATTTTTTTATTCTTTTCTTTGTTCTTGGACGTGCTTGTTCGTGATTCCTCTTGCCCCACCTCCTCCAGATGTCATACATTTTGCTCTGTTCCTCTGAGAAGGAAGTGTGTTGAAACTTCCCCAACTCTTGCGGAGCGTTCTCGGAAATATATTTCCCTAAACTGTTTGCTGTTAAAAATAGAGGGGTAAGACCAAGCATGCTGGGAGGATGCTTAGCTATGAATGAATTTCATAAGGCTGGAAGATTGCACTATGGGAAAGGCCTGGTGCTTCTTCTAAGTCTTCCACATGTATTACAGATCTGAAGTCTCTTAGCCTCACTATTCTGGGTCTGGCATGCACACAAAATGACAGAAGACCCTGATTCAGGCATCTAGGTGTCCAAAGACCCACTTCATATCAGTGCCTTTATAAATATTGCCCCTTAAAGAGAAGAGAGAGACATCAGATGGGAGAAGAGATGCACATGAAGTGCCTTTCCCAAGGGCACACACCAAAACCCAATGACCCCCAGTTCGGAGCTTTAGCAAAATGGAATCGGGGCAAGAGTCAGCCTTTCTAGTGTATTTTATTTGCACTTCTCTTTTTTTGGGGTGGAACCAGAATGAGCAGATGTGAGAAAAGGGCATGAACTCTGATTTGGCTTTTGTTGACTTGCTCAGAGCAGCAACAATAGCTTAGGAGCTCTAAATATCCAGTTTAGCACTTTACTCCCAATAAACATGGCTTTCAACTAAGCCACAACATTTTATTGCCTCTGACAGCGTTCCATTGAGTCAAGTCTTTATATAGCACCTTCACCTCATGTACTCCGTTAGTTGTCGTTACACCCATCATGATGACATTTCCCCATTATGTAAATAGGGGTCAATTTTTGTTCAGCGTTACTTCAGTCAACAGTCTGTTTGTAAAATATTAAGCAAAACAATGTGAAAACCTCTGTTCC